CACCGCGTTCTATGAGTTGCTCCTCGAAGTCAAGTCGCAACTGTATTAACGATGTTAAGAAAAAGGAAACAAACTTGCAAGACGTTTCCGTCTTGCGAAGCAAGCCCATAGGGAAAATTGTCTTGCGAAGCAGCTCAAAAAACAAAAAACCCTTTCGTCTAGCGAGTTTTTTGTCTTGCGAGGCATTCATCTTGCGAGGTACCACTGTACAATGTCAAAAAGCGAGCCGGCAGTACAGTCGTACCTTGGAAGTCAAACGGAATCCATTCCGGAAGTCTCTTTGACTTCCAAAACATTGGAAAACCAAAGTGTGGCTTCCGGTTGGCTGCAGGAAACTCCTGCAGCCAATCAGAAGCCCCACCGGACATTCGGCTTCCAAAAATCGTTCAAAAGCCAGAACACTCACTTCCAGGTTTCGATCATTCGGGAGCCAATTTGTTCGGGAGCCAAGGTATTCGAGATCCAAGGTACGACTGTCAATCACTCCGTTGAAAGTTGGAGTTAACTCTTTATTAGCAAAAACATGATCTTCACAGACTTGGCTGAGCATCAGGTCTTTATGAGCACAGCAGCCCATTCCCCATGGGTCTTACTGCATGAAATCAGTTGCCAAGACAAGAAAGTCCCTACCTCCCCACAGCCATCTAAGTCCCCTCCTTTCCAAGGCTTTTCCCAAGCTGAGACTGTGCCTCCATGCAGCTTGTCACTGCTCCACTCATTTCAGACCTCCTCTGGTTCTGGGAAACAGGACGGGAGAGCTTGTTTTAGCAGGAGGGGAAGACACCCTTGACTCGTCCCCAGTCTGACTCACCTCTGCCTGACTCTCCTTCCTTGGAGGTTTTCAAACAGAGGTTGGATGGCCATCTGTCATGGATGCTTCAGCTGAGATTCCTGCATTGCAGGGGGTTGGTCTAGATGACCCTTGGGGTCCCTTCCAACTCTACAATCCTATGATTCTTGGTCTCCTTCCTCCCACTTTCCTGCTTTAGCTTCTGCCTCTGATTCTAGACTTCTTTCTGCCACAGACTCTCCCTGCTCACTAAGCACTGTTACCCCTTCCCAGTCTTCTGGTTCCTACCACACATCATTGTCCACTAAAAGATTCCTGTATTGCGGGCGGGCTGGACTAGATGACTTTGGGTGTCCCTTCCAACTCTATGACTAATATCAGGAAAGACTTTCCAGCAGTAAGACTGTTCAACCGTGGAACAGACTCCCTTCCCTCATTGGCAGTTTTTAAGCCGAAAAAAGCTCCCAGGGTGAATTGCAAATTTCAGCAAGACACTCCCTGCCCTCAGGCTTACCATGATAATCATCATTTATTTGTACAATCTAAAAGACTCATAACAAAAGAAAAGCAGTATTGGGAGAGAGGAAGAATAAACCACTTGAGTACGACTCTTGAGAATCTTGATTCTTTCCCTGCCCCAAGTGGAGGGAATTTGAAATATTTTCCTGTTCTATGTTAAACAGGAGCTGGATGGGCGGGGTATAAATAATAATAATTATTATTGGACAAACCCGCCATTTTTATGTGTTAAATCTGGCCCTCGTGACTGCCATTTCCCTTAAGGATGCCCAGAAGCTGTGGACTTAAAACAAGCAGTTTCTTCTTTGGCCTTTGCCTCGCCTAAAAAATGGATAACGGAATGGGGCTTTGGGCTTATCCGTACTTCCGCTTGCGACGTGCCTAGAAGGGGGGAGCAGTTTCCCCCTTGCCCTGCTCCTTTCCAAGGGAAAAACCCACTCTTTAGTGATAGTCCAGAACAAACAGCAATCTGGGGAAAACCCAAATTGCCATTTGCGCCAATTAAGTCACGGATGCTTTAGCTGTGACTCCTGAGTGGCAGGGGTTGGACTGGATGACCCCTGGAGGTCCCTTCCAACTCTGCAATTCTTTGATTCTGCACCAGAGGAAGGTGTGTGTGTGTGTGTGTGTGTGTGTGTGAGAGAGAGAGAGAGAGAGAGAGAGAGAGAGAGAGAGAGAGAGAGAGCACCAGCAGTATCAGCTGCTTCCAAAGTTGAAGGTGGCTTTGAATACCTCCCCGAAGCGATTACATGGCTTTGCTGTCTAATGTTAGCAGCAATGTCCCGATTAACCCTGAGAGCTGCATGCTCAGTTATTTCGAGGGCAGGGCGAGCGGCAGTGCAGTGCAGGTGCCCGTGCCCCTGGCTTTGAAGCCCAGCCTTGCGTAAGGGCCAGCCGACATTTTACTTAGCGGCTGGCCCCTTCACTGGGCAGGGGAAAGGAACGAGGCACTGCGGACCACCAAAAAACCAGCATGAAGCCAACTCATGTAAGTACAAGCACATATATTTGCCCTGCTTGCGATCCAGAGTTATATACCTGCCTATCTGTCTCGCGTTTGGGTTGCGGCCCCTGTTATATCACCCACCCCCAAACCCCAGAATCCTTGACATGGCTTTTCCTCCTGTTATCCCACCCGGACCTTATTTGACCTACCCCCAAACACACAAATAGTTGTGAGGTGCAAAGGGTTTCCTGATGTGCCAACCCATCTTGGTTCTGAGGGAGAGGGATACCTGTGGGAACCAGGCAGAGGGCCTTCTCGGTAGTGGCACCCACCCTGTGGAACGCCCTCCTGTCTGATTTCAAGGAGATAAGTTAACTATACAGCCTTCAGAAGACATCTGAATAGGGATGTTTTTAATGTTTGATGTTTTATTATGTTTCTGTATATGCTGGAAGCCACTCAGAGAGGCTGGGGCACGATTTATTATTATTATTATTATTACTATTATTATTACAGTGGTTAAGTACCACTGTACTTAATATTAATAGTACCTCGGGTTAAGTACTTAATTCGTTCCGGAGGTCTGCTCTAAACCTGAAACTGTTCTTAACCTGAAGTGCCACTTTAGCTAATGGGGCCTCCCGCTGCCTCTGTCGCGTGATTTCTGTTCTCATCCTGAAGCAAAGTTCTTAACCCAAGGTAATATTTCTGGGTTAGCAGAGTCTGTAACCTGAAGCGTATGTAACCCGAGGTACCACTGTATTATTATGCAATTCCTCATAGCTGAGTAAGATTGTCTTCCATGAACACAGTCTTAATAGTGAGTCTGTAAGTGACTGTGGAGGCCAGTTCTGGATCCACACGTCCTTCCACAGTGGGGACATAGGTTTCCGGGTGGGAGTTGATCAAGGCGAAAGTTTGCCAAGCATGCCTTCCTCTTAGCACATTTCTCCCTTGCGTCCTGAGTTTGAGCGTCTTCAAACCCATGACACCTTTGGTAGGGGCTGTTCTCCAACTGGACCGCTCGCAGGCCAGTGTTTCCCAGTTGTCGGTTTTTATGCTACATTTTTAAAGATTTGCCTTGAGAGAGTCTTTGAACCTCTTTTGTTGACCACCAGCGTTACACTTACAATTTTTAATTATTATTGTAAAGAACGGCTTCCTGGTTTTCGACGAGCACCCAAAAGGCTAGGCAGCGCCCTTGAACCTATCCATGCTTTCTAGTGCAATGGATGCGCTTGTTTTTGCAAGGAAAGTTCTGTGGAAAAGGGCACAACCTTTTTTTCAGCATTAGCTCTGGGTCAGTTTTCAGCATCCGTTACTGGATTTGGACTGAAAACCCCAAGCTGTCAACTAGGGCTTTGCTAGCCTATCCGGTAATCTGGCCCCTGTCAAAACGAACCATGATCTCTGTCGTCAGAAAAAGCACATATTATTCCCGGCAGTTTTGCAGCCTTTCCCACCAATCACCTGAATGAGATTGTGGGTGGCAGGGGTGCCAAAATGAATAAAATATCGAGGGGCCCACCAAACTTTTTTTTGGTGGGGTGTCTGCCCTCAAACATTTTAGGGTGTCCCTTGGTGCAGGGACGCTGTGGGTAAAAGCCTCAGCGCCTAGGACTTGCCGATCGAAAGGTCGGCGGTTCGAATCCCCACGGCGGGGTGCGCTCCCGTTGCTCGGTCCCAGCGCCTGCCAACCTAGCAGTTTGAAAGCACGTCAAAGTGCATGTAGATAAATAGGGACTGCTTACTGGCAGGAAGGTAAACGGCGTTTCCGTGTGCTGCGCTGGCTCGCCAGATGCGGCTTTGTCACGCTGCCCACGTGACCCAGAAGTGTCTCCGGACAGCGCTGGCCCCCGGCCTCTTAAGTGAGATGGGCGCACAACCCTGGATCCACACGATTGGCCCGTACGGGCAGGGGTACCTTTACCTTTAAGAGTTGGTGCCTATTCTGGGTGCTTGCCAGTAGCATACTGAGAGCCTCTGGTGTAGAAAATATTGGGTTGGTTGGAGCAAGGACTTGACTTTCTGTGAGACAGATTCTGAAATTCCTAAGATGGTGGCAGGAAGCCATGTGGTTTCGCTCTTCAGCAATCTGTAAATACCTGACACTCCCCACCCACACACACTAACACTGGCCTGGGGACCACAGAAGGGTAGAGTCCCCCAGTCACCAGTCTAGCTGCCGCATTCTGGATTAGTTGTAGTTTCCGGGTCACCTTCAAAGGTAGCCCCACGTAAAGCTCATTGCAGTAGTCCAAGCGGGAGATAACCAGAGCATGTACCACTCTGGCGAGACAGTCTGCAGGCAGATAGGGTCTCAGCCTACGTACCAGATGGAGCTGGTAAACAGCTGCCCTGGATACAGATTTGACCTGCACCTCCATGGACAGCTGTGAGTCCAAAATGACTCCCAGGCTGCACACCTGGTCCTTCAGGGGCACAGTTACCCCATTCAGGACCAGGGAATCCTCCACACCTGCCCGCCTCCTGTCCCCCAAAAACAGTACTTCTGTCTTGTCAGGATTCAACCTCAATCTGTTAGCCGCCATCCATCCTCCAACCGCCTCCAGACACTCACACAGGACCTTCACCACCTTTTGTTATTATTGTGGAAAATCCAATAAATTAAAAATAAAATAAAATAAAATAATTTATTATTATTATTATTATTATTATTATTATTATTAGATTCATAGGCACCTCTTGTTCTCGCTTTGCAGTTACCTCTAAACGTTCGCCAGGATGACGCAGGACCCCGCTGACCCCCTCTCCGCCGCCAGCCCCTACAACTATGAACAGCCCCTTCCCCCTGTGGCTCGGACCAATGCCTTCACCCAGGTGGCCCCTGCCAAGAAGATAACATTTTACAAGAGCGGGGACCCTCAGTTTGGAGGAGTCAAGATGGCCATCAACCAGCGAAGCTTCAAGAGCTTCAACGCGCTGATGGACGACCTCTCCCACAGAGTCCCCCTGCCTTTTGGGGTGAGGACCATCACGACCCCGCGAGGGATACACTGCATCAGCACCCTGGACCAGCTGGAGGACGGAGGGTGTTACCTGTGCTCCGATAAGAAGTACGTCACGCCCATCAGTATTGGTCCCGCCGGCCGGAGAGCAGCTCCTCAGAAGGTCGGCCAGCCGGCCAGCGCATTGCGGAGGGCGGCCCAAGACATCAAGCGCGAAGACAACCCGGCCACTTTCGCCCAGCAGAGTCCGAGGATTCCCAAGAAAGTCACTCTGGTGAAGAACGGGGATGTGGGCACCAGGAGGCCGATAATCCTCAACCGCAGGAACGCACGGAGCTTCAAGACTCTCTTGGACGAGATTTCGGAGATCATGCAGTTCACGGTGAAGAAGCTGTACACGTTGGACGGGAAGAGGGTGAGTCTTTGTGGCGCAGAGGGTGGGACTGAGGATAAACCCCAGATTGCCGTGAGGCCCAGATAACAATAAGAGCAAGAGATCTGAAAAGACTGTCTGGCGGAGGCTTCTGCTCAGGGTCAGTGGAAATAAGCTTGAAAGGTTAGAGGCAAAAACCTAAAGCTATACAGTGGTACCTCAGGTTACATACGCTTCAGGTTACAGACTCCGCTAACCCAGAAACAGTGCTTCAGGTTAAGAACTTTGCTTCAGGATGAGAACAGAAATCGTGCTCCGGCGGCGTGGTGGCAGCAGCCGGAGGCCCCATTAGCTAAAGTGGTGCTTCAGGTTAAGAACAGTTTCAGGTTAAGAACAGACCTCTGGACCGAATTAAGTACTTAACCTGAGGTACCACTGTACTTTGGGTCTTGAAAAGCCAAGCTGGGCGGAACAGTGTTGAGAGTAAAATTCTCTTATTTAATTAATTAGTGAAAATACTGACTCACCCATAATGCCACCCAAGAAGACCCCCCATGAGAGAAAACCCATACAAAAGCTCTGGAGAAGAGAATGGTAATCCCCAGGGGGAGGACTTTTCTGTAAAGATCACACAGGGTCCCCGGACATTTCACCATCTACTGATCCCTGTGCCACCACTTTATTTCTCGCTGCCACTGCCCAGACCCTACCTGGGACAATACTGAGTCCAGTCAGGGTTAAATTGGAACATAAACTTCTGTTGATTTATTGCAGTTTAACAAGCGTGTGGTTTCATAAACAGTATCGGTCAATTACATTCATGGGGTGACTATCCAGTCCTATAAGTTTCACTACCTGCTCTCACTCACTAAACCACCTCTCAGATATTTACTTGTCTTCCTAGCTCCTAACTGTTCCTGACTCAGCTTATTTCGCTACACTAATTCAACCTACCCACAGACTCTATCCCAATTCACTCCCACTCCAACCAACCACCCCACTCCAAACGAACTCCTGCCTTTGCCCCTCCCAGAGCTGGTTTTATAGTCTCACTGACTCCACCCCCTGGGTTCTGATTGGGTAGCCTGTTTAACTATTTCACCTCCAGCACTCTCATACGTTAACGTCACAGGAAGAGGGTGAGTCTTTGTGCCACAGAGCACGTCATAGAAGAATAGCCTGTCTTCGGTCCAAAGCATGTGTACACTACACGCTCAAAAGTGCAGGGCGCAAACTGTGGCATGACGGAAGTCCAAGCAGTCCAAGAAAAGCTTGATGGCTTCTCTCCTAGAACCAGGCAGAAGCTGAGCTGATTGACCAGTGGTTCTCAGAGTGGGTGGTAGTGCTTCCTGGAGGGGGGGACAATGGGATGGCCTGGGGGGGGGCGCTAAGAGGCAGCAGAGTGGCAGGGAGGTGCTGGAAGTGTAAATTACCACCAGACTTTGAAAAGCCGATATCAGTGGATCAAGTTCTTCCATTTTGTTGAACTAATTAAACTGAATACAGTCACACCTCGGGTTACAGATGATTCAGGTTGTGTTTTTTCGGGTTAAAGGTAAAGGGACCCCTGACCATTAGGTCCAGTCGTGACCGATTCTGGGGTTGCGGCGCTCATCTCGCTTTATTGGCCGAGGGAGCCGGGGTACAGCTTCCAGGTCATGTAGCCAGCATGACTAAGCCGCTTCTGGTGAACCAGAGCAGGGCACGGAAACGCCATTTACCTTCCCGCCAGAGTGGTATCTATTTATCTACTTGCACTTTGACATGCTTTTGAACTGCTACATTTACTTTATTTCCCTCCCAAAGAAGAGTTCACCGTGAAGAGGTGTTGATTGTGAAACCCCTCCATGAAGGGAATGGGGGATTCCTAGCATTTCTCAGAAACCTTAAGAAACTACAGCTCCCAGAATTCTTTGTGGGAAGCCATGACTATTTGAAGTGGTGTCATAGTGCTTTAAATGTGCTTAATCTTTTTAAATAATACTAATAATAATAATAATAATAATTTTATAAGCTATGTAACCTTCTTGCTCAATTCAGTCTTTTTACATGGTTTTTTAAAAAATGCATTGGGATATTTTATTATTGTAATTTTCTGGTTGTTTTTCTTGATTATAAATTAATAACGATATATTGTAATTGTCGAGAGTGAATTTCTGTTCAATTATTTGTTGATATGTTGTGGGTTAATTTTATTGGGTATATTTTAACAGATTATTGGATATTACTTCATTTGATAAAAGTTGTTTACGTTAAGTCATGTTTTTATTATGATTTATTCGTATTGGATCAGATTGCTATAAGATGTGTGATGTCATATATTTTGCTGCTTTTTCAGCTCGTGAACTGCCTTGTGCATAGTAATATAGAAAGGCGGTATAAAAATTAAAAGTGAAACAAAACGAAATGGTGCGAATGTAACCTAAGTCCTTCTTTCACACCACACTGACTCTTAAATCAGTTTGTGTCAGAACAGAAGGCCTGGCGTCAAGGTGGCAAGATTCACAGGGGCAGCAGATCTTTCTTCCCCCCGTGTTCCTAATGTAGATCTTCACTCACCTCTTCTTTCCTGGTAGGGAGAGAGCCGCCATTTTGTGATTTGATTCAGGTGCCAAAATTTATTGGGCCAGCCTGCCTGGCATATATGGGACCCAGAAGACATGGAGGTCAGTGGCTAAACCAATGGATACAGCCCTGATCTTCCATGCCTCCTCTTTCTACATTTGACAAGAGTCTCTGTGTGTATTTGGTTCTTCAAGGAGAGCATACCTTCTTGCTTGCTTCTCAGTTTATCTCCTCCCCTTTGCCGAAAATACAACAGGACCCCAAAGACATCTGGAGATGGGGGAATCAGAGGTTCTCCTGATGGTACTAGAAAACAACTGCCTTTATCGCGGTCTGTGCCAGCTGGTGGGAGATGGAGCCAGCAACATCTGGAAGGCCACAGCTTCCCTTGTGAGGGGCTTGTCAATGTGTTCACACGAACATAGCTTACATTGGCATTTACCTTCTACTTTTCAACTCACCTCCTCTTCCTTCCTCCTTCATCCAGCTCCCAAACTCCTCTCCTGAGCTCACTTCGCAAGAGCCATTTCCCCCGCAATCCCAACAGTCACAGAATCTTGGAATGTTCCTTTCTGGTGCTTGTAAAATAGGGAAGACGGAGGGCCTGTTTATCTCTTTGCTCGGTTGAGTAGTAAATCTCAGTGGGTCATAGAATTGATCCATAGAATTATAAAGACGGAAGGGACCCCAAGAGCCATCTAGTTCTCCCTCATGTTGAGTCAAAATCGCCTTTCTTGTAATTCAATCCATTAATTCGTTTCCTACTCAGCATACCCATCACCCTCAACTGCTCCTCATGAGGCTTGGTTTCCAGACCCTTGATCATCTTGGTTGCCCTCATTTGTACATGTTCCAGCTTGTCATAAAATTATTGTCAATATCCTTCTTAATTTTCAGTGCCCAGAACTGGACACATTATTCCAGGTGTGGTCTAACTAGGGCAGAATAGAGCAGTATCATAATCTGGACACTAGAGCTCTGTTGATGCAGCCTAGAATATCACTTATTTCCTTCTTCTTCTTCTTCTTCTTCTTCTTCTTCTTCTTCTTCTTCTTCTTCTTCTTCTTCTTCTTCTCCTCCTCCTCCTCCTCCTCCTCCTCCTCCTCCTCCTTCTCCTCCTCCTCCTTCTCCTCCTCCTCCTCCTTCTCCTTCTCCTCCTCCTCCTCCTCCTTCTCCTTCTCCTCCTCCTCCTCCTCCTCCTCCTCCTCCTCCTCCTCCTCCTTCTCCTTCTCCTCCTCTCCTCCTCCTTCTCCTCTCCTCCTCCTCCTCCTCCTCCTCCTTCCCTTCTCCACCTTCTCCTTCTCCTCCTCCTCCTCCTCCTCCTCCTCCTCCTCCTCCTCCTCTTTGGCGAACACTCGTAGCCACACTATTTTGACTGTATTAACACAGAATTTGACGATGAAAACCATTTCCAGATCTGGCTATCATCAGCTTCTTGCACTCTGCTTTGGTATATGGCTGAAGAAGTCGAATGCCCCAAATGGCGTCTAACTGGTTTACAGCTATAAAATCAAAACACAATTAAAATAGAAAATAACATCAAACATCATTTTTTATTATTATTATTATATTATTATTATTATTATTATTATTATTACCCTGCCCATCTGGGTGGGTTTCTCCAGCCACTCTGGGCAGCTCCCAACAGAATAATAATAATAATAATAATAATAATAATAATAATAATAATAAATGATGTTATACCCTTTTCAGTGCCTGCTGAAAACATTCTTGTTTAGAGAAGCCTTCTCTAAACAACTTTCTAAATGTTTAGAAAGTTGATGAAAGTTATAATTGTTTTATCTATTGTTATTTCAACTTTTTGAACATTTGAAATGATTTGAAATGATTGTTGTTGATTTTTCTGACTGATAATTATATTGTTTTATCTTTTTTTTAAAGTCCTTTGAGGGTTGTTGCCTGTTTACAATCAGTTCATACATCAGGGAGATCCAACAGGTTGATCGCAATCTACTGGTAGATCCCCGGGAGGTTTTGGTAGATCGTGGTTGATCGCTGGGTCCCTTCCCTTAGCGTCGTTAAAATTGAATACGGTCCTGCTCCCTCGCCCTGCTGCCCTCCCTCCATTCTTGCATGATCTCTGCAGAATGGAAGCCGGAGTTTACTCAGTCTCAATGAGGCTTTCCTCCTCCCTAAAAAAGCTCAACAACTTTGACCTGAACCCCCCAAAAACACAACCCCAGTGTCGGTCACAACTGGACCCTTTACCTTTACAGCAACCAGAATCTTATACTCACAGAACTGGGGGCGGGGGAGTCCACTGAAAGAAGAATGGCTCCTAAAATGAACCGACCATTTGGAACTGGTCAAGTTCACAGTCAAAATCAGAGAGCAATATGACGGGCAATTTATGGAAGAGTGGAAGCCTTTCCCCCCCTGTATTATATGAAAAACATATAATCCAATGAAATCACGGGCAGGATTTGAAATCCGAGCAACGGGAAGAAAATGATAAT